CGCAAAGCTACGTGTTGAAAGCATGGCAGAATGCGTTTCAAAAAGGACATGCGGTACCAAAAAAAATCGCGGCACCTACTTTTCCCGGCTCTTCGTTCAAAAAATTAAAGCCAACTCCTATCAAATACTCGAAGATACTCAGTTCCTGTCTCTCTCAGCACTCACAGAGTCATAAAACAAGGACAAAACGGAAGCAGATTTCAAGCTATCTGCCTCGAGTTATGCAGTGTATTAATCACAATTTATAGCTCCTCTGGTTTCTGGAATGTAAATTCAACTTTGGACCACATCAAGGGGGGAGGCAAAGACAGGTGTAATTTGGTTTCAGGCTTCCGACGTCATACGCGACCAAGGGCTATATTTCCAAAATTTCAGCTTTCCAAATCCTATAATTCAAGAAAGCAATAATCAAACAGACATCGATGATGTCACCATATTGTAATCCCCTTTGTACGATGTGAAATAAACGCACAATGAACTCAAGTTGACTCCAAAAAAGTGAAGCTGCTCGGATGTACCCACTCTTAGTAAAAGCAGCAACCGTTCCTAAGACCGTCTGAGGGGGGCCCCATCGTTCATGGATTGACCGGGAGAAGCGTGCCGAGTGCCTCACTTTGGAAGTGGAAGGAAAAACTGCTGAGGGACTAGTTTCAAAAGATAATTTCCAGCCTGGAGCACTATATATCACTTAATGCAAGCAAACCTGCAACGTTCATGGTGCCATTATAGTCCCTTTCTACTCATTGCATCATCCCACTTCCTTTCTCCCTACCGCCGCTCAAAAAAGAATGTTTAAAAGCTTCTTTTTATACATAAGCGGATTCGGGAAAGGAGGGGAGGTGAAGGACCTTTGACCCTGTTCCTCTCCCTCGCCCTGTATCCCCCCAGCAGCACAGGCACCAGTGCTGCAAAAGCCCTGGTCTGTTAATAAATAAGACTAAAGTAACTCTAAGTAGCAGTGTCACAACTCTATTCCTAGTTTTTGCATAGTTCCAATGTGAGAGGGGGCTCTCCCCTTTCCCCACCCTTGTCGTCCCTCCAGCAGTTCCACTCTCCGCTCCCCTCCTCGCTCCACAGGAGTCCGCCCTGAAACCGCCTATGCTTTCATACAAAGATAAGCGTGATATGATCGAATGTTTGCGTCTAGTTCAATTGTTCAAGCCTGAGAAAACAGCTAAGAAAGGCCATAACAGCAGCTCATCTCTCTGGAAAGATGGTGCTTTGCAGTTATTTTTCTCATGTAAAAACCGACAACAGTATAAACATATTTTACACACTAAGTGTTGAATCGGCAACCGTGAAAAAGCAGGGCCTATGCCATTATCCTGCTTATCGCATGACTGAATCTTTATCTCAGTGTATGAGCACGATGCAAATTAATGTTGATTCAAATGGTATATAGTCAAACCTTCCCCGTGTTCAATCTATATGAGAAGCGAAAGCGCACCGGAAATATACCGAGTGGTAGCAAGTGCTAAGGGCAATAATCCACCGGTGGTGCTGCTGAAGTTCCCCTCTTTTGAGTGTTGTATAAAATAAGGTGAAGACGGTCTTCCTAACTGGGAACTGTTTTCACGCCCTGGAGATCTTATAAATAAAAAACATTCAAAAATATATGGGTTAGTGTGGTGAGAATACTGTTTTCGGGATCAGAATGCGTTAGCGGTTGATCCCAGCCTCAATAAAAATCGCCCTGTTCAGCAAACCTTGGTAAAAAGTGAAGAAGCAGCTGAAAGCACAGAATCTCGTGCCCTTTTCAAATACAGATGAACGACTGTCTGGGCTCCAAGTACGGTTTTTATGCGAGAGAAAGCCGACGAATGAGATTTAAAGGCTGTGAGGTGGAGAGGCAGTGAGTACAGAGATACCGTACAACTTCATTGCCTGACAAAGGAATGCATGGGCAGAACAATGCTACGGCCTCTAAGCTAACCAAATTCGCGCTTGCACCTTAAAAAAATGCGCCTCATCCGCCTGATCATATCCACGTGGCAGGCGAGAAACATCACCCAAATGAAAAGCCTAAAAACAGCGCCGTACGTGAACAAATCAGGCACGTCGCCAAGAAACACGTGCACAGAGGGTTGGGTTCTTTTCAACCTCACGTCCCCTCCCCCCTCTCTGAAATTCAGTGCTGCCCCTCCGCAGTAATTCTCCAGCGAACGGAAGAAACATAAACTACTCCAGTCTCGAATGATCCAGAAACAAATTTCGGAGCTCCGTGCACCGATACACTCACTGCCAATGATCAAGCAAAGCAGCACAGTGCTCTTCGGCAATGGATGGACTGACGAGAACAACGCCTCCTCTACACTCAATGAATGTATGTGCGTGTGTGTGTGTTTGTGTGTGTGTGCCTGTGTGCGTGGGCGAGGATGCAGGAAAAAAGAGGCATTCATCTCTCTATCCAGCGACCGGACTGGACTGGTTGGGTCTACTGCCGAGGTCTCTGGATCGGCTGACGATCGTTGGGAGCAACGTCCAATGCTCCAGTTTCTACGCAGCCATACGATTATTTTATAGTGACCGCTGCTACACAGCCACCGTTTGGACAGACCAGAAATGCCCTCCCTCAGCAGACCCAGC